GTCATTATAATCTGTAATTATGTCCCCATTGGATGCAACAAATGCCTCGTTTGTAATGGGTTTTAATGTTTTTGTCTCGTCGCTCCGGCCGGACATGGCATCACAGTATATTAAGGGGCGTAACATTTCCGTCAGATGCTTGAGGTATTCGGCCAATCACAATGCACTGGATAGCTGGCCAATCAGAGTACACCTCGCTTTTTCAGACCGATGAGCTTTGTAAAAATCGATGCGTTTCAGAAAGGCGGGGCATAAAGGAGAAACAATAATGTACAGTATGTGGAAAATAATGTGTTTTTTGAACCTTAAACCGCATAAACACATTTCATTACACCAAATAATGTTCTTTTTAGCAGCATCATATGACCCCTTTAATCACACCATTGGTCAAAGATATGGCATTTAAGATTGAATTCGTATCAAAATATCATTGTCATTTTAGTTTATCATTTGTATAGTGCCAACAACTGGCCAAGCCCAACCAAATTTCTTAGGTCTCCTCAGAGTAAGTTTTTTTTTAAAACATCCAGTATGGTGGAAAGATTTCCTTGGGAGAAATAAATGGGGGTACACGGCATTTTTTTTTTGCTCTATAGCTCCACCTGTAGTCCTCTAAATTTCATGTTTCTACCATTTATGGGTTATTCTGTATTTTGTTTTAAGGTAGAAAAAGAAAAAGGCTAATAATAATCCTAATGAAAACAATAGTGTTCCCAGCAGTTCGTTTTTGGATGCCTAATAAAAAAATCTGCTGGCACAGTGTTCTAGAAAATGGGTGCATTTATTGGCCTATAAAATGATTCAAAGTTTTTTTCCTGGTTCCTCATTCTATGTGTGTGTGTGCATTTTGGGTTGAATGATGTAAGAAGACCAACCAGCCCCTTTCATTTGTTACTTTCTACCATGATGTCATGAAGTTATATTCTGAATTTCTGCCTCAGCTTCAGGCCTATGCGGAGAGTAGTAGTTTACAGGGTGGTTTGCACTCAAGTGGACACCCACATGATTAGAGACACCTTTTTCTGAAACTGAATACATATGCGCTTATTCATTTAGAGTTAATAGCCTGTTCTCACTCGCCGCTTACTCAACTATATGATGTCATCTTTTGTTGGCTTCTAATGTACTCATTGAACACATTGCAAAGGTGACAGTAATTACAGGTGTTTCATTATAATCTGCACGTATCAGCTCAGATATACATTTGTTCAAACGTTAACAACCCCTGATCTGACAGCTCAAAAGTCCTGCAGTGTCTTTCCTCTGTGCCAGATCTTGGCAGTTCACGTTTGTTATATCAGCAGTGTCATTGTCTCTCCTGTATTTCTGCAGGCTCAGGCTAATTCATGCAAACGCCCGTCAGTGGCTTCCTAAATGATCCAGGCAGCACCCATTCTGTTTTTCCACATGCTTAATCACCGTGGAAACGTGCACAGAAACAGTCACTGATGCTTTAGGCTTTACAAGCCTATCAGGCCCATTCATGTATTGCCTGGTTCTGTCTATTGACAGCTGGAACAGTGACGGTGAGGGTTTTCCACTTTATATTTCACACTGTCATTTGACATGTCAAGTCACTTTAAATGGCCTGTAAGCAGATGCTGAATGTAAGAAGTGACAAAAGACCTGTGAATTTTCAGCAAAAGAGGAAACTCGCACTTCCCCACAGCACTTATCTCTTATCTCTGTACTTTTGTGCTCTGCACAACTGGCTTCATTGACTGATTGAGCTGTTCAGATGCACTTTGAGCACACTAGAATGAGAAACAGCTTCTGCTGTCGGCAGTTTTTACAGTATATGGGGTTTTGGTTATTTACAAAACTTAGCTTTTTGAAATTAAAAATAAGGTTATTTCCCAACATTTTGAGTTTTTAGTTCATATCTGTGTGTAGTGTACTAGTGTACTTCTGTTTGACTACATTCTGTTAAGGTGCTTCTTTTGAACTTTCTATTCTACTAAAAAAATTATCACTGTTACAGCAGCAACTGTTTTCCACATTGATAATAATAATAAATGTTTCTTAAGCACCGTATCAGCATATTAGAATGATTTCTGAAGGATTGTGCAACACTGAAGACTGGATTTATGGCTGCTGAAAATTCAGGAATAAATGACATTTTTAAAAATATATTTTAATATAAATTTCACAATATTATTGTTTTTACTGTATTTGTAATCAAATAAGCAAAATTGGTTAAAAAATCTCACCAACCCCAAGCATTTGAACGGTAATGCATCTCTTGACAAACGAAAGAAAGTGTGGTTCAGTGTTGTTTTGAACACCACTGAATTTCATTGTATGGGCAAAAACAGTTCTTCTGAATTTCTTTTGTGCTCCACAGAAGTAGGAAAGTCATACACTTGGAAAATTACAATTCTCTAGTATGGAGGTAGTAACCCTGTCAAACCATGACTGATTCTTCATGCTTGCTTCATCAGTCTTATAGGTCAGAGTTAAGCATGGCAGGCTTTTCACATGCCCCTCAATAGTTCTTCAGAAGTAAATGTTAGCAATTGGTCCTTTATTTCTTCATAGCGTTTAGCAGCTGCAGTGTTTGCTGTGGATGGGTGTGCAGAGCTCCTAAAATCACACATGAGTCATATTCAGTCATTGTATTCAAAACTAACGCAGTAATAATTGCTGCTTGATTCTGTGAAACATGATTTTTATGTTGTCGTAATTTGTAGAAGTTCCCTACAGTACAAGAAATGCTATGAGATAAAAGACAGTGTGATTATCTAGTTTTGTAAGAAGTATACATTTCATAACTTATTGTTTTGGTTGTAAGCCATAACATATTGTTCTTATATTGGCAGGGATTTGTTGCGCGTGGTTTGAATTTGTCATCCTAAGCCTTAGGCAGGCAAAGACAACTCCTGAGGGATGCGACTGGACTGGAAAACTGTGAAGGCGTGGCAGAATTCTTTCCAGTGAGCATTGTAGGAGGTTATGATGAGAAGCCACATTTGTGACATTTGAATCTTGAAGGTGGCTTCTTTTGACAAAGAGGAATTCAGCCACTGTCCTTTTCACAGAGTAAAGATGCAACAGCTTATATGCTGCATGGTTTAAACGATGCACACACATGTGCCTTTCTATGGTGATAAAGTGATGTTTTTTAAGGAACTCACCTGCATGTAATGAAGGAACAGAGCTCAGGTTCAGTGTGGCTCAGGTCTTTACATCTCCATGCTGTTGGAGCACAAGTTTATGCATGATTTAAGAGCCTCAAGGTGCGATGTTCTCATGTTACCACTAATAAAACATCTGCTGAGCATGGTGAGTTATCACCACAACAAGACTATTCAGTACTAATAATGTAGAATGGTAACCTTAATTGACCTCTGCTGATAGTTTTGTTGAAGTAATATAAAAATAATTCACATGCACAAAAATGAGGAAAGTAGGAAATACATGCAACCATTTTACCTTATGACATTAATTCAATTTTCATAATTGTCCCATCAAAGACATTTTGAATGTCACATCAAATGAGTTTTCATCACACACTGTAAAAACGTTTTTTGAAGTTGTAAATAAAACAGATTATTGTGTATGTTTTACAATAAAATATTAATTCAGTCTTTTTACTTAAAAGTTGCAGTTTTGAGCAATTTCTTTGTAATTATTTGAGAAATTTACTAGTCTCAACTGTTTCAAATTAAATTGCTTCAAAGGAAATCCTACACCATTCCTTTTCAGTGCAGTACTACCAGAATGAAACAAATTATGAAAATGGCATCCTGAAGCTTACATTGGTTGATACCTTTTAGTAAACAATAGGAGTGTAGCGGTGCATGAATTTGTACCTAAAATTCTCTGTATGGGACTTTTGGTTCGCCACGCATATGTGTAACGAAAGAATAAACAGAA